AAGCACCAGTTTCTCTTCTTTTGCCATTGACAGGCATTTGGTCAGACAGAGATATCTATGATTATGCAAAAAAATTCCACCTGCAAAACATGTGAAGAATGTGCTCTAAGCCTTTCAAGACCTCTAGCTGACAACTAAATGTACCAAGTATATTTTAAAATCCAGATTTCAATGCTTGAAAGGTCTCCTCTGCCCCTCTGTGGTCTCCCCTAAGCTGAATACATTTCAGATCTGGACAGGCTGGATGGATGAGCCAGGGCCAAGGGTGTGAGGTTCAATAAGGTGAACTGTTGAGTCCTCCACTTCAGTCACAACAACCCCTTGCAGCACTACAGTCTGGGGTAAAGGTGCCCTGAAAGCTGCTCAGCAGAAAAGGCTCTGGGGGTGCTGGTTGGCAGTGGCTGAACATGAGCCACTGAGTGCCCAGGTGGCCAAGAAGGCCAATGGCACCTGGTCTGTGTCAGCAATAGTGTGGCAGCAAGACCAGGGCAGTGCCTGACCTCTGTGCTGGGCACTGCTGAGGCCTCACCGAATCCTGGGTTCTGTTCTGGGCCCCTCAATTTGGGGGACGGAGGGAGCTGGAGCTGTTTAGCCTGGAGAAAAGGAGATTCAAGGGGAGACCTTCTCGCTCTCTACAACTACCTGACAGGAAATTGTAGCCAGGTGGGGGGTGGTCTCTTCTCCCAGGTAATGAGTGACAAGACAAGAGGAAATGACCTCAAGCTGCACCAGGAGACATTCAGGTTGGACATCAGGAAGAATTTCTTCAATGAAAGGGTGGTTAAGCACCAGAACAGGCTGCCCAGGGAAATGGTGGAGTCACCATCCCTTGAAGTGTTCAAGAAAAAACTGGACATCGCCCTCAGCACTCTGGTCTAGTTGACAAGGTGGTGTTGGTCAAACATTTGAGTCAATGATCTTGAAGGTCTTTTCCAACCTTAGTGATTCTATTATCCTATGATTCTGTGATTCAGAGATCAAGACATCATGACAAAAGCAACTCCTTTTCCAGCTTTTCTGTCAGTCATGGGAGAGGGCTTCTGAGTCAGCTCAGCAAGTTGCACAGCTCTAAAACCGACTTTGAACCCAACGATCCCTCAGCCAGAGGCTCTCCCCGAGCCTGAGCTGAAAGCAGATCTGGAGAGCAGCAGGGTCTCCCAATTCTCTGCTGGAGCTGACACATCTGACACATCCAACCTGTGTGTGATCACACTCTTCAATCAGTGAAAAAGCTCCAGAATGCCTCTTTCTTTCTATATTGCCTCATTCATTCATATTTCTCCCATACATTGGAGACAAGTACAGGGAGTATTGCACAGAGTCTGTCCAGGGGCTGAGTGGCTGAAGGTTTCATGGAACTGACATTCCCAGCCAATAAGAGCTTCTATGAGGAGTTTGCTGACAAGGAAAGAGGCAGTCAGCTGCTCTGCATCTCTTATCCAGGCAGGAAAAAATCCTCTTTGCATTTTTTATGCCTAATTTACGGAGTAACCTTCTGCACTGCTCCTTTGGAAGTAAATGATACATCCATGATAACACTGGATCAGCAATACCTGTTATAAGTGAACTGCCTTTTTTTTAAGAGCTGATTCAGCTGCTTTTCTTTTTTCTTTTTCTGACATTCCAAACATCAGGAGCAAGTTATCCTGGAACAGTAACCTCAAGAGCACCAGTCCCCCCATGCATCATATGGGAACCAGAGGTTCAAAGCAAGCTGGAAAGAAGAGTCAGGGTCCTCAGACAAAAAAAGTCCATCAACATTAGTAAGGCATAGAATACTCTTCCTAAGATTAAAATCCCAGAGGGACAAATTAATAAGTTTATAGAAGTGCAGGAATTAGCAACAGTGGTACAACATTATACTACCGTCTAGATGTAATTATTGAACTCAGTTGCATAATTTGCCTGGTATCATAGAATCATAGATTGGTTTGGCTTGGAAGGGATCTGAAAGATCATCTAGTTCTAGCCACCCTGCCATGGGCAGGCACACCTTCCACTATGCCAGGCTGCACAAAGCCCCATCCACCCTGGTCTTGAACACTTGGAAGAATCCACAGCTTCTCTGGGCAACCTGTGCCAGTGCCTCACCACCTTCAGAGTGAAGAATGTCTTCCTAATATCTAATCTAAATCTACTCTCTCTCAGTTTAACGCCATTCCCCCTTGTCCTATAACTACGTGTCCCTGTAAACAGTGTCTCTCCCTCTCTTTTTATAAGCCCCCTTCTCTGGAAGCCTACTAGAAGGTTTCCCCTGAGCCTTCTTTTCTTCAGGTTGAACAACCTCAACTCTCTCAGACTTTCCTCATAGGAGAGGTGCTCCAGAACTCTAATCCTGGCTCTCCTCTGGACTTTCTGGTAGATACTCAATTACCATTTGTGACAAAAGAAATGTCTCTCCCACCTCCAAGACCAGGTTTACAAAGCAAGAATGAACAAAAGAGGCACCACATTCAGTCTCACCCCATCTTTCACCGTTTTCAGTAGGTATGGATATCTCCAAAGCAGCTTGTAGACCAGCATGCCTCTCTGAACATGCCTGAGAAAGCCTTTTTCAAGAGAGCTGCTCGTAGTCTTGGAAGCTCCAGAGGATGCTCTCCAGCCATGCTTCCAAATGTATTGTCTACACAGTCAGCAGAACTGCCCAGCCTGCAACTTAATTCTTAACCTCACTAAATAGGTAATTATCTTCTTGCAGGATTATGAGAATATTAAGGACTCAAGGAAATGGAATCTTCATCACTAATTTGGAGGTCAGGAATAAAAACCTTCAATTCCAAAACTGCCACATGCTTCAATCTCCCTTCTGCTTTTCGCAGTATCAGTTAAGCACTCATAGCAAGGGGAAAGGCAGCATGTGTGCAAGGTGATCGATTACCTCCCTTCCCTCCTGCTCAGAAAATCTTACACGTGTGCACCCAAAGGGATTAAAAAGGAAACCCAGATATTATCAAAGCTGTAAACTCCATGCAGAAATATCCATCTCTCCCATTTGTAATGCCACATGAGTTCAGATGCCCAGTGGACAGCACAACAAATTAAATCATGCAGCCTGAGGCGTGTCTGTGGGAAATGCTGCAAAATAAATTGGAAATACTCAAAATGCAAAACAAGGTCTAGCCATAGAGAGCCTGAATGGGTTTTTTTTTAGCCTGCTGGGAACAAGAGTAAATTATCCTCACTGAGGTTGAGGATATGACAGCAGGATTGCTGCCCCTTCCTGAGACAGTTCATCCAAAGCTGTGCTAGGGACTTCTCCACTGCAAACTCAGGTAACTGTGTATTGCCTGAGCTGTATGTATGGTAAGTAAAATAAGAGCTGCTGCCACCCATCCCTGATCCCAGAGGGTTAACAGCTTTCTCAGCTGTAGGAGCTTTACTCCTCAGCATCTTATCTGGCCTAATCAAGCAGGTGCCCTTTCCTCACACTGGAAGAAGCTGGCACAGTTATAGTGCTGGCTGCTGCATCTGACCCCATCTCAGAAGTGGACGATGTGAATGCCAATGGATTCTACTTGGTAGAAGAAGAATCAATATTCAGAGAAGAACCTCTCCAGAAAAACACTACTCTCGTTCTTAACTTCCCAGCACCTCTTTAGAGCACAGTTGCTTGCAGCAGTCACCCAGCTTTCCTCTGGAAATATATTTTGACAGAGGGAAGTGTCAGTCTATGAGAATCTTTTTTTGGAAGGATCAAAGGGTCTAGAGAAGAGAGACAGAAAAATAACGATGCCTTCTGAGAACTTCAGAGACCATTATATAACCCTAATGTGTTATAGATACCTTGTAGCTTGTGAATGTAATAATTGAAAGTAGTCGTAAATCTGTTTCATTATACTCTAATACAAGGGAAATACATAATATATGTGATTAAGCAAATGTTTACCACAGAGAATTCTGGTTTATTCCTCACTGCCATGTTTCAGACTGTCGTAACAGGAGAGGCAAGCAGAGCAATCACCTTGGAACAGAATCTGTGGGGCCACAACCCACACCTGGTTATTCAGGGCTAATCTGTCCTTCAGTGCCAGCTCTGGGAGCCTTGCAGCCATGAGAGGGAACTGTTCATCTTCCTAGCACTCTAATATGAACTTTGCCATTAATCTCCAATATGTTTCAGTACCTGAGCAATAAAACAAGGATCAGATTTATTTCTTCTCATGCTTTTTTTGCCTTGGTGATTTAGATTAGGAGATTTTCCAGATGATCATTGCTTTACTTTAAGCATCCAGCAGTGTAGGGTTGTGCTTTCAGTTGACAGTAATATGAAAAAATCACAGTAAACCAGAAGGAAGAAATAAGATCAAGTTTAGGATGTATAGCCATAGCTCTAACATAAAAAATTTGGCTGAAAAAAATCTTAATTTCTCTACTGAACTGAAAAATAAACTGTCAGCCTTGGAAAAATTAAGAAAATATCTTTAAAGGAACTCTTTAATTTTCTGATCCTTTTTTCTAGCACTAACAATGGAAATTGTGAAATCTTTTAAAAGCATTAGATACACTTAAAGCAGTGGCTGTCTTGTAATTAAATTAAAAACTCTGCCTCTCATTCTACAGCAGGAAAGAGATAAAGAATGCAAGTGTTTACAGTGATGATGGATTTTCAAAATAAAATCATGAATTAACTCTACTAAAAGATATTTAAGAAATTTTAAAATTTTTTCCAGATAGTAATGAAGAGCAATTCTAACTTAAAGAGGGATACTCTTAACATTTGTCAATTCATTTTGAAGTTGGCGTCACAGTATGATTTTCAATACAAAAAAATTAAATGCATTTATTTCAAATAGTTTTTCCAGAGTCAATGAAATACTTCAGAAATATCACCACAAAGAAAACAAAAGTGGCAATAAAAATGAATCAACTGACTCAAAGACATTATTAGCAACAACTTCTATTGTCCAAAGGGGTAAAACATAACTCTGTTGATGGAATATAATGGCCAGCATTGGAGATAGGAGTCACAGTCATCAGGCCAGGCAGCAATAACAACAATATTAACAGATAACTCATATTTATATCATTTCACTCTGTGCCCCAAGAAAAGTCTAATATGATTCTCCTCTCTGCAGTTCCGTGTTGACATCAGAATTTCGATGGGCAGCTTCAAAGGGCACAGAAACCACGTCACTTCCAGAAAAAGAGTGCTCTCAACTTTCATGTTATAGCAGGCATTGGAGCAGATTCGAAGGAGATGTTGGATCAAAGGATTCAGCCTGAAATAAATAAAAATTACACAAGTATTTTCTCCTCAGTAGAACAGCAATTCAAAGCTTGCCTCAATGAAAATGACTTTTGATCTTTGTTATTCAACTGGATTTGAGCTGGTAGGTTTTACATAGAGTTTGCATTTAAGATCTGCAGTCCTAGTTTTGGAAGCTGAGAATATTTCTGGGCTAATGGGGGCACACGCAATACTTAGTGTAGAAAACATCTATATATAACAATTATGGGAAGTACTAAAGGTCCACTATTCCTGATGGAGATGTTCATATGAGCCATTAAGCAACACATCAATTTCATGTTAGCAGAGAGTTCTCATTTTCAGTATTGCTGTAGGATTTTGGAACAAAGGATTGCTAAGAAATATCACAGCATAGAAAGATTATTATAAGATGCTTTCGACACAGCCTTCTGCCAGAAATGGTGTTTAATATGAGATATGTCACATATATTTTTTACATTGATTTCATCTATCTGCTTGTGCTATGTTAATTCTAAGATATTATGCATATAAACTGTATGTTTTTTATTAAATCCCTTCTTGAGATTGCTGAGTACAGTTTCATTAAGGACATTAAAAATGTGTATTAACTGATGCCTGTGTGGTTCTCTTAGTGGATTTTTAAAGTGTTGTTATAAATTTTTGAAGTGTTGCTGAGTTATAAATTCTCCCATAACTGAAACTGTAGGTTCTGAAAGATTTCCTGTGGGACACTTTTAGCTTTTGCCTGATGGAGTTAATAAATAAGGTAAGTAACAGTCTTATAAGGTAAGTAGTAGTCAAGAGGAAAATGCATTTGAGTGGAAGTATTGCACTAACTCATTGAAGTGCAAAGACCCATTAGATATTACAGGTTTCATTCTTGATTGCAGGTACAAGTGTAACCTTCTCCCAGACCAGCAGCCTCCAGCTGCAGTCTGTTCCCCATCTCCTGCTTCGTTATCTGACCAAAGGTACTATGACGATGTCCGTAGAACTTTGGAAGTGCTTTGGAAAGAAATATCTGGATCTCCTTTGGGAGCAAGATCCATATTTACCTGGCCACCATCTTGAGTGATCCTGAAGGTGGTTCAGAAAGATATGGTTTCTCTGAATCCCTTGGGGTGAAAGGATGATCTTTGAGAAAGTCAAGCACTTAAATTGTTTTCTAATATGAAGCAGATCTATTTTATATTTATTTGAAATTTCTTTCAGGTGTCTCCAAACCCATAAAATCCAAAGTCATGTTAAGTGCAAACAAAACTTTTGCCAGAAAATGTTCTCATCAGACCTCACATAATTTAACTTTTTTGCAACTTATTTATTTCTTCACATAAAAGCTTCCATTCACTCCTTATATTTTTATTGGGGTTTTTTTTATTGCTAACAAACCCAAATCACAAATTTGATTCAGCTTTTCACAGAAAAAAAGTAAATTATCATTACACCAAATGAAAAATCAAACCTATGTTTTTGTCAGAATACATATTTTAAACTTTTAAACCATTCAGTTAATTCATTTATTTTCATTTCAAAAGGATCAATTCCACTCAAGAACAATTGCTTGGAAAATGTGGCTGTGGTGTTGCTTCCAAGACTGTTCTGTGTGTTTGACCTGGACATTCACCGTGTGATGTACAATCAAAACACATTTCAGGAGTCAGATTATGAGCCCAATTTCCCTGAAGCAAAACTATAACCAAAATGAAGCATGTCCTGAGTGACTGGGGTTGGAATCCCCCACTGTCGTGTCTCACTCCTAAGTAGAAGGGGGCACCCAAGATTTGTAGATGACTGCGGTCAAAAAAGAACAGCAAAAGCCAGAAGGGTCCGAAAGACCTTACAAATTTTATTAGCAAATTACACACTCAGCATGGAAATTGGTATATGTTTTGTCCCTTCTAATAGTAAGATAAATAAAAGAATAAGAGAAAAGATGGAAGGAAGAGAGAGAGAGAGAGAGAGACAGAGAGAGAGACAGAGAGAGAGACAGATCAAATAGGAGAGGAAAGGAGAACACCGTTCATGGGTCCAGGGTCGATCCAGCCCATGGGATGTCCAGGGCCCTTGGGGCAGCACCTGAACTCTGTGGGTCATCCTTTTTATAGATAAGTTTTCCCTGCCCTGGGGTTGGTTTTCTTACTTCTTATGCAAATGAGTTATCATGCACAGTCTGTTCTTCTAGACCTTTCTGGAAATGGGCCAAAGGCCTTTCAGCATCTTTGTTGGTCTTGATGCCCCTCTATTCATCCTGCCTGCTCCTTGATCCCATTCCTGCACTTGTGCTATTCTGTGCTGGGAGGTCTCCATGGACCAAAACAGGGAAGCTGACCCCCAAGAAGTGCTACCCTACCTCTGCACAACCTCCTTCTCCAGCCAGGTCCTGTTCTAACTTGCCCATTTGCACAAGGGTCATTGGTTTTTTAGACATTGCAGTGCCCAGGCTTCTACATCCTACTTTACTGTAGGTTTTTTCATAGTGTGCACTATTTCCATTTAGTAGTTGATTGGCATTTGCTGACAGCTTTGCTAGAACAGATCAGCAAAAACAGGTGAGATTTTTGAGAAAAGGTGCAAGACAAGTTAAATCAAAAATAACACCTGTAGGAGCAATGAAAACCTTTCATCTCCCCTCACTGAATGCATTTCTTAACACACTAATAGATCTTCTCCACAAAGTGTGAGTTTCGAGAAAATTAGGTATTATGGGACCAAGATTTAAAATAGTATCTGTGTTAATATTATCATTGTTCAAATTGAAATTTCTACAGTAGTCTGATTTGATAAATAAATCAAACAAGTATGTTTAAATATGGGCAAGAACACCCAAGGTATACTAATTTTCACTTCCACTTTCCAAATCTATTACACATGTGCCAAGTTATTTGATGCAGTGGAATCTGTCAAGAAGTCTCTTCACTGAAAGCGTGGTCAGGCATCGGAATAGGTTGTCCGGGGAAGCAAAGGAATCACTGTCTCTGAAGTGTTCAAAAACATGTAAATGTGGTGCTTAGGGACATGGTTTAGTGGTGGACCTGGCAGTGCTGGATAAATAGTTGGAGTCGATGATCTTAAGATATCTTTTCTAACCTAAATGATTCTATGATTCTAAGTATGCATTTTGTCCTTATACTCAGCATTTAAAAGGTACCAGAAACCGTGAGCAGAAACAGGCCATGCATGGCTTAGTGCAGTAGAGAGAGCATGAAACTCCCTGAGTTTCAAAGAGTCACAACTCATTGAGAAATGACACAGCAAATGAGACAATATAAACTCCATAGCAGTCATCTGTCTGACTAAGTTAAACCCCCAAAATGAGGAAGATGAAGTTCCCCTCTGGATGCTTCAAAGGCATCTTCCTGTGTTTATAAAAATGTACACACACACAAGCATCAAAGTATGTGCTTTCTCTGCAAATTCTGCACATTCCCCTTCTCTAGTTAAGCCCTTAGTGAAACCTCAGCACATATAGATTAATCTTGGGTAGGTGTTATTTGAGATAACAACTGAACAATACGATCCCTTTCTGTGGCATCACAAAAGATTAGTTATTTAGAAGAAAACAATTTCCTTGCTAACTTTGTCAGCTGACAGGTTTAAGGAGCTGCTTCTGCAACAAAAGTGCTTCAGTGCAGGCTTAAGGGCCATGGGTGAAGGAAACTTTGCTATCACAACATTTACTGCATAGGACCTTGAGATCAACAGTGGATGACTATCTTTGTGTTTTCAATTCAGCCCTGCTCAACAATATTTAACTCACTTCTAAATCAGAATCCAAAATCTACCTTATATGAATATAAACACTGTTATCACCTTACATCATGTTGGAGCCTGCCGTGGACATAAAATTGCACTGAATTGTTATTATTAGATGTAATTGAAAGAAATGAGATCAAAATAACTGCCTTATTTGGGAGCTGTCTGGTCAGCAATGTCTCTACTTACTATCCTAATATCCTAATGTAAGCCTTAGAAGCACACATTTCATACTTCTGGTCTGAACTTGGCATATGTTCATTCTACTGCAGAAATACAAGGAAAGACATTTGGCTTCCTAGATCAGTGGATAAGGACCTGGAAGGTCAGTGTATTGGAATATGTATTTACTGGATTAGCAATTCTGCAAAGTCATCTTAAGAAATGCAGAGAAATGCTTCTATCTTGCTTGGCTTGATGCCTTGCTATTCATAAAAACAGAATCCATGACCTTTTCATTTAAAGTCTTTTGCCTCCTGCCTGAATCTTAAATCAATCCTGTTGCCTCTGAGCATTGCACATTTAATTCTTAAAATCTCCTCTTGAATTTGGCTCAAATTCCTCAAAGTCAACACTGCCTACGGAAGAAACCTCTTTCTATCTCAGTGTCTGAAAATAATAAAAACGCATTGTCTAAGAGAGGTTTCCCTTGTATGGCTATGGAAATTACTCTGGAGTTTGCCAACCTGTCCTATGTTCAGTGCCTCAGCTCAAATAAATCCCAAGGCTTTCGGATTACCATGCAGGAGTAAGATGCTTTTAATCATTAATGAATCCAATCAGGTTGGGAATTGTTGTAGCATATGGCTTTGAACAGTAGCAATACAAATACACACAGGTCAAGATTGAACTTCTACAGAGCAAAAAGCGTAAATTGTGGCTAAATGATAAGGAAAGGGAGATAACATATGAGATATGTTTGGACAAAGGTTCTGGCTGTCCAGCTCACATCTGAAAGCTTATATGCATTGTATAGACCAGATGACTGCTTTTAGACAGCTAAACTTATCTGGTAAGATCCTGACCCTTAATGAAGGGTAATATTTTATTTAACATGAAAAGAGGAAGGATCAATCATGGGTTAATTCCCATTTAGTAACAGACTAAACATATCAACCTAGGTGCAATAACAGCTGGTACATGTGCAGATGAAGGAAATGAGTCATAGAATCATAGAAAGGATGGGTTGGAAGGAACCTTTAAAAATCATTTGGTTCCAAATCCCCCTGCCATGGGCAGGGACACCTTCCACTACACCAGGTTGCTCAGAGCCCCATCCGACCTGGCCTTGAACACTTCCAGAAATGGAGCATCCACAACTTCCCTGGGCAACCTGTGCCAGAGCCTCACCACTGTCAGAGAAAAAGATTTCTTCCTAGTACCTAATCTAAATCTGCTCTCTGTCAGTTTGAAGCCATTCCCCCTTGTCCTATCACTCTGTGCCCTTGACAACAGTCTGTCTCCAGATCTCTTGTAGCCCTTCTAGGTATTTTAAGGGACTCTAAGGTCTCCCTGGAGCCTCCTCTTCTACAAGTTGAACAATCCTTTACTTTCAAGTAAAGGTTTACTGTTTCAATTCATCAAGCTACCTTATAGGAGGAAAAAAAAATATTATTTTTTGAAAGGTACGTGCATTTATAGGTTAAGAAATGTATTTTTAAGTAAATTATATTTTAGTGTAAGTTTATTATAATTCATTGTGTTCTTGTTTGTAAGGCATTTGTTTAATACTTTAATCCCTTCATGTCTTAACATGCTTAAAATATTGACAAGCTCCATGGCCTAGTTCTACTTACAGAATGCAATGTCACAATTCTAAAGGAGAAATTGACAGAGAAAATTTTATTTTGCTTCAGTTGAACAACTGAAAGCAGGTATTATAAGAAGGAGGACCAGATAAGCATGGTAACAGGTAGGTGAAACATTAACCCAGAAAGGTTCCACAGAAACATTGCCATGTGACTTCAAAGTTTCTAGTCCCCAGAAAGGATGAGCAGCTGGAAAAACTGCATAACTCCATGTAGTTTGATATTTCTAGAGACTTGCAGCAACTGTCTGGTCCTGTATATCACAGGAGCTCTAAAACCAGCCTTTGCTTTAGAAATATCCTTGCCTGAAATACTTAAAATCGTAAAAACTGACATGAGGACTTGAATACAGGGATGAAGGGGATCTCCTTGAGAATTTGTGGAAATAATACAACTAAGTCCAAGTGCTCCTACTTTCACTGGAAAGGCAGGTGCTGGTTTGGGAGAACTTGTAGATGAAGGAAAAATCATAGGATAGCTGGAGTGAGCATTCTTTACTCTAAGGGTGGTGGAAATTCTTTTACTACAAGGGTGGTGAAGCACTGGATTGAGTTGCCCAAACTGACTGTGGACTCACCATCCCTGGAGGTGTTCGAGACCAGGCTGGATGGGGCTCTGAGTAACCTGGTCTAGTGGATGGCATTCCTACCCATGGCAGGGGAGTTGGAAGTAGATGATATTTCAGTTCTCTTACAAGCCAAACCATTCTGTGACTCTATGACATCAAGAATGACCCTTCCATGGAGGTGTCTATACCCGTGTGTCTGCTGGCATTGGAAGTGTCTAAGCAATTTTTGTCATCTGCACAGGTCTGAGCTCTGTTCCTTAAACATGGTTGTCTAGCCCCATGTGCTCTTGAGCCCAGTTGTCATCTACACCAGTCCCACATGCTCGTAGTTTTGTCCCCTGCTCAAAATCACACACTTACCTTAGAGTCTCTGGGAAGTAACGGAAGTGAATAAATATATCTGTTCTCTTTTTATATGTCATGCTGTAAAAGAAAATAAAGTTGAAGAGCTATGATAGATTGCTGAAGAAGCATGTCAATAGCTGACTTGTTTTCAGCAAAATTCACTTCCTGTTATTCAGTTAAAAAAAGAAAATTACTGCATTTCAAATACACTCTATTTTAGAATTTCATAAACAGACTCAAATTCTGTGGCAATCATGAAATTTGCTTTCCTTATTCCGATATTTCAGTATATTCTGTTCCACAATAAATTAATTAGGCATTTTTTCCATATCCTGTCCAAGTGACTTCCATTGTGCTTCTGAGCTTTAATTAATCTGCAATTGCTCTTTCATCCAAAACACTTAAACATACATAATTTTAAATACTGAGGAATATTGACTGATTTCAGTAGGATTCTTTATATGTTTCAAATTATGTGTGTGCTGAAAATAGGGCAAAATCTAGTTCTTGGCCTCTAACTAGATTTTGTTCCACTTATCACCATCTTCTGGGCATGGCCATTCAAAGAGTTGACAGAATAAATTATGGGACGGAAGAAAGTAGGAAAAAAATGTTTTGTGTATTAAGACCTTGTCCCATATATCATCTGGTCAGAACGGAGTAACATCTCATTCCATTTATATCAGTAACATTAGTTCTGAATTTCATGAAGAAGAATTACATGTTCAAAACTGACTTGGTACTTTGCATATTTGAGTGTGCTGGAGGTTCTAATGCAAAACATTAGGAAACATTTTGCTAGTGCATCTTATTTCTTTTATTCATTGCATTTTATAATATGGAATCTCAGATTTATGATCATTATTTAATGCATTTAATTAAATACTAACCCATTCTATCTGAGAGTCCCATAGTCAGGAAGGACTCATACTAAGTTACCAAAGCTCCACACTGTAAATTTGGTCTTGTTGATCCAAAATTGTGAATATTCCAGCACTGTTCCGCACATTTATAAATGTTGTCACAAGAAATGACTGAATTGTCATTTCTACAAAAAATTCCTATCAATATTTTAATAAATAAAATGATACATTATTTCTTTATCAGTCAAGCAAAATATTGAGCTAAATAATGAGCTTAATTTTTTCACTTGTGTGAATTACTTACTTGGAGTAATATAAGTGCCTCTACTCTCTTACTTGTTTGATGATTCTCTAATTATTTTTCCTGAAGCTTTTGTAGCATAATTTCACTTCCCCGGCATTTCTTTCTCAGGGGCTCAAAAGATCCAGCAGCAGTTTGAATTAAAATCTTTATTCATTATTTTAAGCATTAAACAATTTAACTCATCTCTTACATGTCACTGCCATTCAAGAACCTCAAAGACTTTAGAAATTGTATCAGCTCAATTTAATTTACAGGCAAATGAAGATAAAAAGCAATAGAGTGACTGGACCAAAATTAACCAGTGAGTCTGTGGCAAAATTGTCAGTGGCACTGAGATCTCCTGTCTTTCATCACATAGACGCTTTCACTAAGCCTTTCACTTTTTTTTTAGTTCCCAGGGAATAGTGGAAGGTGCCTAAGGACTTCAGTTGTGTTATTATGACACCGTGCTTGGCTGTGTTGGTCTCAGGAGGGAAACTTCTACACTATATGCACTTTCCTGCAGCTTGTACCAGGAATGTGGATAATCCAGAGGGAGCATTTTTCCGGAGCAATTTTCAGTTTTCAGAGAAAAGTAATGGTACTTATGAGTCATGCCACCTGAAAAAAAGCCAGGTATGTGTAAATGTTCATAATTCAATATCAAGACACCTTAGGTGGCCTTCCGAGACAACCAGCATCATGGAAGGACATGAAGGACGCCAATGAGTGCATAGCTGGCATATGTGGCACAAGACAAAACCTACAGGAAAGACTTCTTCTTCTGGAACAATAGATGGGGACAGACAGGATTTCTTAGGGCATCCTAAGTGACACAAGACGTGTTTAGACATCTATACCACAGCCCCAGCCACTGGGTACACAAATCTCTCTAAACTCTGCTGACTACAGCACAGCTAAGAAGCCTGAAGAGCCTATATATACCTCTACATAAGCAGCTAAATTTAGGCACTTCAAACTGTTTGAATCTAGTTTAAATTTCAAACAAAATCATAAAGCCCATAAATTGTTTCACTTGACATGCCAAGTGCATTTGACAAAGGTCTGAATGTGACTTCTCTAGAGAAAGGTATTTCCTCAGTAAATTATTATGGAACTAGTTCAACTTTGTGCATGTTTGTGGTGGGCTGATATATAGCTTTTCTTTATTAAGCATCACAGTTTTTCTCCTACTTTTAATTGTGCTCCAGATGTTCCTGACAGCTGCTAGAAGACTATGCCATCTGAGCACTCATCAAACACACACAAAAACCAGGCTAAAGGAGAAAGAGTTGCTCTGCCTGCATGAGGACATGCAACATGAGTACCCACATCTGAGCCAATCACTCCCTTTTCTAGGCCAGTAAAAAAACAGTAAGTAGAGAGCCCTTGGCAACCAGATCTAACATTGCAGTCCCTCTTGCTTTGAGCAGAGGGGTGCTCTAAATGACATGCAGGAATCAGCTCCAGCCTAATTTTTTTCTCAGTTAATATTTCTGTTTTTTCTCATAAATATGCACTTACTGTCCTGTGAGTCATCAGAGCTTTTTTGGACATTTAAGCTAGAAGGAAGGAGATTAAAAGTACTTGCTTTTCTCTGTTTTCTATAAAAGAAGCCTAGAAGATCAACTCAAATGAAGATGTTTATATTGAAAACATCTTCATTAGATTAGCATTGTTTGGAGCACTGGGTGAAGAAGCAATACTCTAATTGTCTGAGCTTCTGTTTAAAACTGATAGCATTTAAAAAATTCTGGTCTGTATTTTTCAATAATATTGTGTAAGATAAGAAGAACCACAACAGTTAGTTATTTTTAATGCTATTCCCAGCTAAGCCCTAACTCAGTAATACTGAAACTAAAAATTGTGGCAGAGATGATTCAATGGCTCTACATTTTCTAGCCTTTCATTTCAACCTATCAAACCCTATGGCATCAGCTGACTATGTAATTAAGCTCACTGTTGTGAGAGGCAGCTGACATCTGTACTGATCAACTAATTAGTAACATTGCCTTAACTGGCCCTGTATGACCGCAGCCATGCCATTAAATTCTGACTTAATCAGAAAAAATGGGTAAATGCACTCAAATTGCTTATTAGGGATGGTGTACAGTCTATAACAACTCTTCAGCATGCACAGGAATCACATGGGAAAATATTGGGGGTCCCTATTAAGAGTATTTGACAATCAGGTTCCAATGCCCAGTCCATGGCACTTTTTACCCCTAGAATCACAGAATCAAAGAATCAGTCTCTAGATATAGCTGTAAAATATCCCAAGGTTTCCTGCATGAGTTGTCATTTCAGCTGCAGACAATATCTTTGATTTGTAAAAACTAAAGTCACAAGTTTGATGCACACTTTGAGCCAAATATTTTCATAATTTCAAAGAAACATTTAGGTGTACAGAGAAGAAGTCAGGGACACAGAATATGAATAGGAAGTACATTTCCTCAGGATCTTCCAAAGAAATGTGTTCATCTATAAAGTCATAAAATGCGTTTTTGGCAAGGAGTATAATTTCTTTAAAATATCTGTTACTAAAATAGCCTAAAACTGGGAGCTTTTGGATATGCGTTCTAGTTGTCATCATGTTTGAACATTCTGTTTCTAATCTGGCTGTCTTAAAAGGTTTAATTGCAAAGGATAGAACTAAATTAAAGATAAACTTTCAACTCTGTTTAAGCTGTGTGAGGTAATTATACTCACTGAAAGCAAACTCCAAAATGGCACAGTGTCTATACTGTTAATTACACTTTGTTCACAAATAGGAGCTTAATTGTCCATATCAAATGGCATCGTCACGTTTAATTATGTAAAATATTGTAAAATGTACAATAGGATCACTAATTCATGATATGAAGTGAGTCCTCCTGAATATAAGAAATGTCATTTCTGGACCAACTACAAAACATGCCCACCTGCTAAAGTCAGTAATGTCACTTTGTAGACATTCATAATGTTCCTTCTCACTGAAGACCAGAGTATTTGAGCATTTGTTGTTCACCTAAAAATAAACAGGGCAAATCAAAAACTGCACATTTGTCATAAGAATGTATTAAAAGAAAGGTTAAAATTCAGTTGCAGTGCAGAGAGAGGTATATCTCTCTAATCATTTATGTTCATGGTTCTGTAAGAATCAGGAGCTGATTATAAGAAAGGACAAGATAATTAGGATTTCTTGCATGACTACGGTTTTATGGCTCCCAACCTGGTGCTTCCTAGGGGAAGGAAGAACGGTTCTATATGTGGATCTGAATGCACAAAATGTAGTACATCCTAGAGAAAACAGCAGCTCAAAGGCTGCTTGATCCTCCCTGTTCAGCAGCAGCTGAACCAAAGCCTCCAGGCACTCTGGGATGGGGCAGATGACTACACTCACTGTCCCCTCAAGGAGCCCCCAAAACAGAAATCAGAGGCTGCTGTACATCATTCAACATCTGCTGGTTGTTGCCTCTGGTAACTGGGCTCATGAACCTCAAGGAGCATCATGTATTTTATTTAGGCCTCTTTAATAAAACAGCCTGGGAGCAGGAAGCAGAGCCTGTCATTCCCCAGTCATGTCTCATGAATGAATTTTCACTTCTTGTTCTCCCTGTGTCCTCATAAATTTTGCTGGCTTGTCTTCACAGTCTCAACTAGTAGGAAATAGGGAGTTTCTGCAGATGTTTTTAGTTAATACCTAGCTGGTTCAAGCACTTCTTCTTGAAAAAAGAGTAGCTGAGGCTGAAGAACTTCAGACTGAGGAGCTCAGATGTCCTTCATCCTTGTTGAAAACAATAACTATCACAGTTCTTACAAAAAAAGCAACCTTCTTTCTCTATTTCCTCTCTCTTCAAATGGAAAATGACCCAGCTGTGTGTATCCAAAAGTAGAATTCAAGTACATGAATCTAACTTTTGTATAGGTGCCTACATCTAAGAGAGAAGGAGGACTTTAAAAACACTACTCCAATACATTATTCCTGTTTAATATCTTTTACATCATCATACTAGTGTGAAGAGTCTGTGTGTTGCCTTACACTGTACCGGGCTTTATTTATGTATAAGGTGGCAGTGGACCTCTACAGTCACTGATTCCATTCCTCTTTCTGTATTTGTCTTTAACCTGTTTGCAAACAAGTCCCACATGTTCCCTTAATTGTCCCATGCGCCTACTATGTCACCGGGAAGGAAAGACCTGGACTTAGAAGAGGAACTCAAAGAGAAATCGGGTGTTGTAACAGCAACAATAGTTTGGGACAAAATGTGTTTGAGGGAGTTCATTGAATAGAATTGAATAGTGTAGTTGAACTGGGATTTCTGAACAAGTATAGCCTAGTAATTTTGACAGATTATGACGACAGTCTGGACAGCAGTTCTGACAAAGAAAACACATGGATCACACCAGACGCAGATGTGGCTAGAGGTTCTAGAAGGAAGAGTGGCAAAAGTGACACCCAGACAATGGGTTTCAGTAAACAGGAAAATAACGTTTTAATTATGACAAAAAAGTTTGTGGTTAAAGACTCAGTATTTAATTATACTATTATCGGTGGCTGCAGGTCTGTTTGGAGCTTACAAACATGAAGCAGATACCAAATCCCTCTTGTTCCTTAAATCACTAAACCACAGTTTGCCAGACCCTGGGTGAAATTCCTTCAGAATTTTCTGTCTTCTTATTTTATCTTCCTGAGCATTTACTATACCAGAGATATGCTTGCACTATGCACGGATTAGCACAGGTCGGGGACCACTCTTGATGTTGGAAAATTTGGACCTGGCCACAGCTTTTGAAAAGCAGGGAGTTAGAAGGGTTAGCCATGTGAGTACAAATGAACAGTCCTCACTTAATTTACTAGTTATAACTATGGCTCATAGGTATTTGGTTTGGCCCAGGATGGTTATTCTTACATTTTAAACTTGTAAAAAATCCATAGAACCATGAAAAATAGAGATGAAATGGACTTCTATGTGTTACCTATTTTGTATTTGTTCCAAGGCCATATCAGCATTATTTAAACCTCTCCACAGATCCTGTTACTATTACACAGTAGTATAATATGATGACATTTCTGCAATCCATTCATCATAGCCTTTTCATGCAGGAGGAATTGTACTCAGAAGAAGGTCTGCAATGGTGCTGAACTGCTTTTTAATTACTTCTTTCAGTGTATTTACCAGGAGGCAATTTCTTCCTAATCATCATCTCTGGAGAGTCAGCAAATACATGGATTTTTATAGTTTTTTTCTGTCTGATGGGGCTTTGAAAGAGTGCGAGGAGGAAGGTGATGATGGCTGGCTGTACTTGGATTCAAGATCATAGCTAATGCAAAATTAAAGTAGAAAAGAAGCAGATGCTTCCTAACAAAGCTAAGAACAACTCTGGTTAAACATCCACTGTGGTTACATAGTTGGCAAAACGAGGCCCTTCCAACTTTCCAGATCTGCTGAGGCTGCCTGTGCTTGCAGTAAGCAGCAGTGAATGGTCACAATCTTGAAACCTGCTGTATTTCATTCTGCTGTTTTTAAGTTCAGCACAGCAGAGTGATTTACTCCCTCAGGCCCTGTAATACACACCCAATCTTCATCAAACACTTTTCATTACAATTTCAGTTTCAGAATGAAAGCTGCCTTTAATATCACAGATCTCTCTTGCAAAAGAAAAAAAAAATCCTTTCCCTTCTTTTTTACTTGGGAATCAAACCCTTGAAAATCACTTTTTTTTTCATTCCAGCCTACCTAGAAAGGCAAATAAAGGCTATTGTCAAAATGTATAACTTAACCATTAAATGAAAGTGATTTAGAAACCAATCATTTGGGAATAGAAAAAATCACAGGGTTCCATTCCAAGCACATTGCCAGTAATAGCTGGAATTGAGAACATTGGCTTTGGTATGCCTTTTCTGAGTATAACGTAATTGAATCGACATGTTCCTATGGAAAATTTTTATATTGATGAAACTGCACTTTCCCATTTAAAAAATGCCAGGTTTCATCCTGAGCACATGGAGTGAAGGTTTTTTGCAGCATCTCAAAATAAAATGGTAGACATGATTATCCCTAAATCATCTTCCCACACAGTAGACAGATGTCAAAGATCAGCACTAGTTCTAGCATTAAAACTTTTACCACATCCTTAGCAGTTTGTGCTCCATCCACTCTGTCTTTTCATTTGACACTCACATTGCAGTGGGACCAAACCAGCCAAAAACACTTTGTGCAAAGCACTATATAATACACATTCAAGAGACTTTCACCTGCATCAGCCAAGATTATGGGGCAGTGAAACCAAAACAAAGGAATGTAGGATGGCAATGACCCTATTCATAATTCTCCTAGTGTTGAACATATAATTGATGAGCAGGTACTGGAAAGATCTGACTGTACATGTACACCAGAACATTTCAGCTCAGCAATACTTCTGTGCTCTTCAGTATTTTCTTCCAGCCAGAAGTGGAGTCTCTGTGAACTTCTGAAGTCCTGTGTAAACTTTTCTGTTTGGAATTGCAGCTCCCTATGTCTTTGCAAAGTTCATCCTTGCTCTTCAAGAGACAAACAAACGCTCGGGGCTGCTGGACCGGCAGATCCAGCGCCTGTGCTGCAACACACAGTCAGTAACATCTGCCAAAGGGAGCGTGTGCCACCGTGTGGTGATGCAGCCTCACCACATCAGTCTCGTTTGTCACCAGCACAGAGATGTAACCAAAGATAAATTTACAGTGAGGGAGAATCCTCCAGATCCCACCAATTTCCCTACTCCCTTTAACACCTTGGAAGATGTCTGATAGGACAAGGGGTAGTGGCCCAAGTTGTGCCAGGGGAGGTTCAGGTTGGATATTAGGAATAATTTCTTCATTGAAAGAGTGGTAAGGCACTGGAACAGGCTCACCAGGGAAGCCATGGAGTCACCTTCCCTGGAAGTGTCCAAGAAACCAGTAGATGTGGCACTTTGTGATATGGTTTACTGGGCACAGTGGTTTTTGGTCAAAGGTTGGACTTGATCTTGGAGGACTTTTCCAACCTTTGTGATTCTATGTCTCAAGGGTTTTTTGTGTGTCTGTAGTATTGCTTCACTCAGTCAGAGCTTTTGAAGGCCATCAGCAGCAAAAAGCCACATCAAGGCTGAGAGCTGGGGTGCCACCATGAAGATGTGACTTGGACTTCTGTGATGCAGGGAAGACCCCTGGGACTGCCACCACCCTCTCTGAGCATTCCCAGCCTCCTCACCCTACCGTGATGAGGTTGGTTTCTCCATGCCATGAGCCTGGCCAGCAGTAGGGACCCAGGTCTATTCACAGGCAGGGCCTGTTGGCTTTTTCAGCTCCACTGCCTGAAGATGGGCTGATGCATAGAGATGGATCCAGGCAGGAGCATAGTGCTCTGCCCTCTGCACCAACCCTTTGTAATATCTCATGGGCATCACAGAAATGGGAGATTCCAGCTTCACCAATACTGCAGAGAAGCTCCTGACAAAGGGGAATCTTGTCAGGTGAGGTTCACTTTGGTTGTGGATGAGACTGAAATGTCCTGAGCTTACTCATGCACATCTCCACCCTCCCTGATCTGTGCTTCTCCTGGGTAACTGATGCCTACACTGGGTCCTTCCCAAAAGGGCATGGTAGAGCAGAGGTGTTGCCATGGGGGAAGGGCTGCAGACAGAACCTACACAGGGATGCATAGCACCCCACAGCAGCTTTAAGTGCATTGCCCCAATAACGTAGAGGTAAGAGGATGACCAATGTCCCACCATGTAGGATAACTCAGTAATGACCTTTATCCTGAGATGTACAAGCTCTGGGAAGCAGCCAAATGCAGATGACATCACTCATTTGGAAACTAGACACAAACAGAAGATACCATCTGAACTTGATAACGTTACTGATTTTCTACTGTAGAATTCCCAACATCTAATTTTGGGTTTTCTCCAGGATATTTGATTGTAACAGAGATTCTTAGAAAGGTTAAAATATGTTTTTTACCCTGGAGAACTTATAAGGCAGGGAAAGGACCAAAATAGGATATGGGTGTCACCAAAGGGGAGGTGGGAAGGACTGCTGGAGGAAACCATCCTTCTTTCAGTAAGTTTTTGTAGGTGACAGAGCTGGAAAAAACAGAGTGGTTGTCCAGACTTTTTCAAGAAGTTGACACATCTTTAGAGGATGACTTTCATGGATACTTTCTTGCCTGTGACATTTCCATCATCTCCAGACAGACTGTTTTAAATCTAATCCTTGAGCCACTGCACTATTGATCGCAGGCAGCCACAGAGAAAGTAATTGAATCTATTTTATTCTTCTCACAGTTTCCTCTCCCCCTCTTACACCTAAAAAAGCCTCTCCTCTGATTTCCCTCCAGCTTATCTCCATGTCCATCTGATCCTTCAGGTGACAGTACTCCTCATAGGAGGAGAGGAAGCACCACAATCCAGAAGCTTCAGTATTCCTTCTTCCCTCTAGATGGTGCCATGGACTTTCTCTGGAATAATGCAACTTCCTAAGGTCGAGGTTTTGGTGGAGAGGGATTCTTCAGGTAGACCTCAGTGGCAACTCTGGTAAAGGCTGTGCTGCCTTATAGTCGAGAGACATAATGGGAAGAGGAAATATAGCATTCTTCTTTTTTTTTTTTATTTAGTGAGTGCAGTCTGGGATAGAAGAATGCCCTTCTTTGTTGTAATGTCTTTGATATCTTCCCTTCTTTTTTCATTGTATTTCACTTTTTTGCCATCTTTTCTTTATTGCCCAGAGTGGTTCCTCTCAGTGGAATATAAAACAAATCATACAAGAGCATTAAACAGACCTTTGAGACACAGGGAGCAGGAGTTATCTGTAGGTAATGCTGTCTGAACTAATCAAAGACATATAGTGAAAGGGATGAAAGAAGGATGGTTCCTCCTAAAGTACATATCTGAAATAGAGCAGTGTTGGCACCACGAGCAAAGCCCCATTTCCCTCCAGATTCTGGAACAGGTGAGATGAATAACATTTAAAACTTCCAAAGCAACTAAACAGCACTTTTTTTGCATTAAGTACCAGGCACAACATAGGCAAAAAACAGACAGAAAAGGATAGCATCGTTTTGTTGTGGTAAACCTGGAAGGACATTGTATTCACAACCCACAGGAGTGGTAGGTTCATTATAGTAATGAAAAGATTCATTTCAAGCCAAACTAATCCTGACCTGGAGATGGCTCAGGTGTGGCCCAGAGTCCAGTTTCAGTGGTTGAGGCTTTTCTTTGCTGGCCTAAAGAGTAACTCCAGTGAGACCCACAGGCTCAACATTTAAATCCACATATTTATCCCCGTGTAGACTTGTTCTGCTTTGACACATCATTACATCCAGAGGAGAAGATGACAGAGAATCAAGTTTGACATCTGCAGGGTTTTGGGTCTGAGCATCACAGTGAGTAGGAGGGAGGGACCAGAGCTGTGGGCAGAGAGCATGAGAAATCTGTCCAGAGCTCCAAGGCAGGCCTGGGGTGGCAACTGCAACAGTTCCCACTAAGAGGTGCACTTTGCCACCACATTTATTCCTCTCCCTTCCTTCTATAGGTGTCATGAGGCAATAAAAATAAATGTATCTTTCCAAGAAAGATTCTGTAAGTGTAGCTTTGCACTGACAAATTGCAGCTGCAGTTTTAATAGGGAGGCACGGTTTTCCCTAGTCCTTTTTTTCCCCCTGGGAAATGCAGGAATTGCTGTTTTCTCTGTCATTCTGTATCAATGTCATCTGCAACTTTTCTCCTTTATTATAAGAGGGGGAGTAGGAGGAAATTGCTTGTCACTCAGTGGCAATATGCAGCTTTTATTTACATGGGAAAGCAATAAAATTGATCGTTTCTGAGCTGAACATAAGTCACTTGGCTGGAGTTCAAGGTAAAAGGGCATGTGGGCAACCCTGCTTTCTAATCCATGAAGGAGGGGACCACTAGGCACAGATCTGGTCTCTGCCTTGGGCAGGTCACTTACTCACCTATATTTTACTTTAACCACATGAAAACAAAGCTTTAACATGAATTCATTTCATAGAAGTCTTGTGATATTTAATTAGATTGTCTTGTAAAACTCCAGAGAGTTCTGAACAGGAGAGCTGACACATCTTCATTTGATATCAATAGATATCCAGAGACAGCTGATAGAGCTCTGCGAATGGTCCTGACACATATTGGTTTTAAAACCATGTTGAAAAAGCAATGGCAGTAAGCACAGAAAGGGGTCATGGATTGAAGGACTTGGAAAAACATCTTGCACTGGGAATCCTTCAAGAACTTTGACTGCAATGATATGATCTTTAAGGTCCCTTCCAACCCAAACCATTGTACGACTCTATGAATTCATTTTGTGTGAAGTGTTGGAGAGTGTCTGAGAATATCAACACATTTATGAGTAAATATCAGAAAATACTGACGAGCTTACAGAGCTCTTAAGAAGGCCATATTAAGAACGAGAACTAAACAACCTGTTCTCCTCAACCTAGGCTGCTTTAAGAAAGGGCAGTTTAAAAGTAAACAAACTGACAGTCAGTTCTCCATCTCTGAGGAATACATTCTGCTGTGGGACACAGTGGGACAAAGAGAAATTCAAGTTATCCAGTAACTATCCTCAGTGGTAAGTCAATTTTCAGTTACATGGTACTGTGTAAGGGATGGCTGGTAGAAATCACTAAACCTGCACAATCAATCACTTCAGTAATCGACTGGAAACTTGGAAAATCAAGTTGAGTCGCAACAAGATGAAAGCATTTTCCTTCCCACATAGTGACCCAGTAATGAGAGACCAGGGCTGCTTTGCTGACAGGAATGTTAAATGCTGCGATTTTTGAGTGAGACAAATCTTGTGGGGACAGTTAAGATCTCTGTCCACAAACTCCGTCCTGGTCACGTACTTAGATCGTGACTGCTAAAACAACGCTGTCCTTGGATAATTCAAAGACCATTTTCACTTCATTCAGTCTCTTTTTCCTCCAAGTTAGGTATTTATTTACAAAAATTCCTCAGAAAGAACAGGTTGAGTGGGTTTTCTCCATGGTGATGTGAACCCCTCAATGTACTCACACAGGTTAACTTTGCTCTGGCAAGTGCCATCCCATTCCCTCTGGCCGTATCCACCATATGCAGTGTAAGGCCAGGCTGGATCAAGAGCACCCCAGCCCAGCTGCTGTGCCCAAGGAAGATGCCTGAACAACTGCTTTGCAGGCAATTCACCTTTTTCTGAAGTAGACAAGTAGACAAGAGTTGGTGTGACTCAGGGCTTGGAAGTGTCTGGGTCCAACCTCATTTTCTCAGTGTGTCACTAGGATGAATAGCTCAGCTGCACTGCTTTGTCCCACGGAGATGTGACATTAGATAGGTGTATTCCACCCTCAGCACCCCTGCACTTAACCTCATGGAAGGCATTAAACTCCTTGTGCTGGTCATCCTCCCCTCTCCAGCTTACCCAAGCTCAGTTAGAAAATGTGACTTATTGCAGTCAAGCTCCTCATAAGGAGAAAGATGCACCAAGCATGCCCTGTCAAAATCAGAGCATTCACATTTGTCAGTGGATGTCAGAAAAATAGACAGGCTAGCAAAATACACATCTGAATGTAGCTACTGTATTTTCTGAGGGACTATTTCTTTCTGCAGAGCCCATAAAATGTGTGCTGCAGCTGTAGCAGAGCTCCTGAGAGACGAATGGCATCTCAGAGCATAACTCCATGCAGCAGCACTGCCGGGAAAGCAAGTTCAAAGGCATCCAGCTCTCTCCAGAGAATACAGCTATGTGAGACCCTGCTGGATAGATGACTGGGTACCTGTTTTAGCACCAAAGTATTATAAAGAGCTTGTTCTGCCTCCAGGCAGTAATTTGCTGAAGCACACAAGACACATTTCCCATTGGCAGGATGAAAAGAAAACTTTCACCCCATTTTTTTTTTTGCAAAACACTGCATGATGTCACCTCTGAAAAGAGCTCTATTGTACATGTGGACCATGACAAATATGGATGGAAGAGAACTAAAATGACAGCTTGTGGTGCTTGTATAAACACACATTAACCCTGCAGATCCAGGGTTTCAGTTAACACCAAAGCCTGGGTTATACCAGATGCCTTGAACTGAAATCCACAGGTATTGTGCAGCTTTCTTGTGGTGTTTTCTTAGCACAAAACTGGTGAAGTGTCTTGTCCATTTTTGCTTGCTTTATAAGAAGACTGGGAGTTCAGGAAAAAAATCCAGATTTTTCCATTCACAGACAGACAATGTGATGTGCTGGTTTCCCATTTGTTTAGATAGGTGAATATTTTTAACCTAGATTGCTACTTGAAAAGACAGAGAGCAAAAAGCAAATTAGATTTTTCCCAGGCTAATTCTTCTCTCATTTCCTCCAATTTTACACCAGTGACATTAACACTGTTAACTTTTGATTTACACTGGTACCAGGGAGAGAAAAATGGGCCCTTGAAGAGATGCCTTTAATTCAAAGCAGCTGGGCAGAAAAAAGGTGGTGTGGGACAATTCTGTTCTCCAGGAAAATGAGAGCTGACATAGCCATTAGCTGTCCCTAAAGACACCTGTTTTAATGCATTGCTTTAGAAACATAGCTAGTCATTCTTGCTGTATCTAAACCCTACCGTGAATGAGTGGCTTTCTTAAATCACTAAGTTAGTGGAAAGCCCAAGGCGGGCTGGAAGAAGCTCACATCTAACTGGAATTTGACTCATTTTTAATCTTACCCACTTCTCAGTGCCAAGCTTGGATCACCAAACAGGGGAATATGTTTATTATTAAACTACAGAACTACACAAACTAACAATTAAAATCATGGTTGTTACTCTATATAAGCTAAGGAACAGTTTCTTATATATTCTGTCAGAGCCACAGCCTTCCTAGTCTGGTAACTTGCTGAAAATTGCTTTTAGCTCTTAATAAGACCTGGGGGAATTGAGTAATTTGCTGTGTTGATTAACATGCATTAAGTAGAGGGACAATAATTCTTTTGCAATAGAAGTTCTGATTTAGCTGATAAGAGCACGATCAAGTAGGTATTCAGCTCTGTTTGAATCTGCAAATCAGGTTTATATCCTCCTCTTTCATGGCCACTTTGGATGTTCAACACCTTTGACTGTGAAATCACACTCATTTAAATGCCTGCATATGGGACTCAGTGCCTGCCTCTAAGCACTGGATTTTGATATTTTCAAATATTTTCCTAATCTGCTTGGCATCTTTTCACTGCGGTGATTTCCATGCTTTGTATCTCTGAGTGTCCAGAATGGCTTCAGGAGGGTGTTGTCGTGACACACAACACAGAACAACAGTTTTTTATTCCCCCTGGACAGCAGATAATCCACACTCTTGCATCTGGGAGCAGGGTTTTCTCTCAAGTGGCTGCTATTATGCAGGTTGGTCAGAGCCATCTATTACACAGGGTATTTCCATGAGCAGCAGAGCAGAGGATTTTCTATTTGGATGTCTCTCCCAGGGAACCACTGCAGAAGGATGGCAATGATGTCAAAAGAGAAAGAAAGTGCTGATATGCTAGGCAGGCAAACACAAAATGTGAAAAAGCTCTCAGGTGGGAGACCAGCAGGGACCACCTGAGGTTGGCAGTGAACCACACTGGCGCATGGTCAAAGCCATGCTAACAGCTGTGCTGCCTCCTGCAGCCAAAAAATTAGACACCTTGGGTGAATTTCCTCTTTTTTCTTTTTTCTTTTTTTTTTTTTTTAATAAAGGAGGCATACCACAGTCATCCATGATTAAAAGCTGAGAGAAGAAAAGAGTCTAGGGTCCCCTTATAGCAGCCTTCCCGTACCTAAAGGGGGCCTACAAGAAAAGTGGTGACAATTATTTAGCAGGGCTGTTGTGACAGAACAAGGGGTAATGGTTTTAAATTGAAAGAGGGTCAGTTTAGATTAGATGTAAGGAAGATGTTTTTTTACATTGAAAGTGGTGAAACACAGGCACAAGTTGCCCAGAGAGGTGGTAGATGGCCCATCACTGGAAACATTTGAGGTCAGGTCGGACAGGGCTCTGAGCAACCTATCTAGCTGAAGATGCCCCTGCTCATTGCAGAGGGGTTGGACTAGTTGTCCTTTAAAGGTCCCTTTCAACCCAAACTATTCCATTTTTCTATTACTAGCCTGACATGGCAGACTGGGAAGCAGAGATACAGCCCTTTCCCATCTATCCAACCCTGATGGTCAAACATGGAAATGGATTTCCCAGGTGGTGCCTTGTTTCTTCGGCCATGAGCTAGCCATGTACCAAAGGGTTGTCTCTTTTGATGGGAACAAGCAAGAAGAGCTCCACCCATGAATTACATTATCCAAAGAATTCAGTGAACTTGGACAGGGTCACACAGCCCATAACTTGTCCAGGGCTTGTACAGCCTACTGGCCCTGTTCAGGAGCCTGTCACACACTGGCAGAGCACATTACAGTCCCCAAAGCCACCAACAGGCTGACAGAGGAAGCCAGTTAGATACGGCTACTGCATGTGGTATACATCAGCAAATAGGGTGTTTTGGACCCAGCTGGAACCCCTGTGAGTCCTTAATATTGAATTTGCTGTGGCAAGAGCAAAAAACAGATGGTTCTAATCATTGTACAGTCTGTCTTCTGCAGTAGAGCCCTTTAACAGCTCAGGCAGAAACGCTGGATCTTTCAAGGACCTGAGGGAATTGTCAGACCCCAGATCCAGGCCTTATCACTCACCCTGCTTGCTTCCTATGTGCTACAGCTCATTAACACCACTCCTCTCCAGCACGTTCAGCTCCATAGCGGGATGAGCTGCACAGGCAGCTCCCTTAATGCACTGTCATCTACTAAACACCTCACCTGAAAGATTATGCAATTCAAAAGCCAAGAATAACTTATTTCTGTGGTCTTTAGGGTTTTACAGTTGGCTGATATGGAGCAAAGCCTGGGACTGAGGGACAGAATGCAGAATAAACTGAATTTAGGCAACAATTTTTCTTTTCCTCTGCAGAAGAGCCGCACAGGGAGGGACTGTATTTTCTCACCTTTGTCTGGCTTGCGCTCTCATTCCAAGGAGGAGAGAGGACATATCAGTGCCTCAGCAGACGTCAGGAAACAAGATGTTATTTTTTTTCGTTTAAATCACAGTTCATACAACCCTGGAGTGAATGAGCTGCTACCTGAGGGGTCACAGCCTCCATGCAGCCATGTGTTTGCGGCTGCTTGGCCAAATGTCTTCTTCCTCCTAAAATATTTGCAAGGGTTCTGGGAGTGAGAAAAAGGACTTTTAAAAAATGTTTGCAAGATGTGAACCTCCAGTTCAACAGTGTCTACAGAACTATCTTCTTAGCAGCTCTCAAGAACTAAAGGAAGCATGGGAAGCCTCCAAGGAAATCTTTGACTGAGGCCATTCAATAGAAGATGCTTGCCCTTTCAGAACTGAATGAAATCCTCAGCAAAGGGTGGACTAGCTGACAAGTCAGTTTTCTCTAGCAAAAATTTCTCACAATTTTGGGTTTCTTTCCTTTTTTTTTTTCAGTCACTTCTGGGCTGAAAATACAATTTGAAAAATTTCATAATGGAATAGAAATTAACCAAGTTGTTTCCCTCTGAACAGCTTTGAAGCTAACTCTCTCTGATATACTTCATATCAGTAACACACTCCTCATTTCACTGGCACCTAACCAATGAAAAATACAGGAAAATAAGGAAAACACAAGCAAGAAAATAAAAGTAAAACCCCTAAATCAAATACATCATTAATAATTGAAAATAAAGGCAACATTAAAAAAAAAAAAATCCCAAACCAAAACAAACCCCACACACACATGAAAAAAGCAAGCAAACAAACAAACAAAAACCCAAAAAACCAAAACAAACAAAAAAACAAACAAACAAAACCAAAAACAAACAAAACAAAACAAAACAAAACCTAACAGGATTACAGGATATTTTTCCAAACTTGATTGTACCATTACTTAATACTGGTAATCCTTCAGACAGTTTCAGGAGGATTCAATAGGAACTTGCCTTCCTAAAGAGCACGCATACATATGACATATAAGACTGTTGCTTGTATCCATCTTAGAACTCCTGGCACATTTAGCTTATTTAAGGGAATCTGAATTTATGGAATCATAGAATAATTCAGGTTGGAAGGGACCTTTATGGGTCATCTAGTCCAACACCCTGCAATGAGCAGGGGCAAGGGAACATAGAATCACAGAATATGTGGAGCTGGAAGGCACCCGTCAGAACTGTCGAGTCCAACTCTTGGCCCTGCACAGGACCATCCCCAAGAGTCACACCATGTGCTGAGAGCACTGTCCAAACACTTCTTGAACTCTCTCAAGCATGGTGCTGTGACCACTTTCCTGGGGAGCCTGTTCCAATACTAAACAACCCTTTGGTTGAAAATCAATATGTGGCTCCAGTAATGTTTTACTAATGATTTACTACGAGTTTGCTCAGATTGCTTAGATACTTAGAACCTGTGAATCACAGACACCCACACCCACAGATGTCCTCAAACTCTGAAGCCAAGGTAGAAAATGACCTTTAAAATAGTACTTTTTTTTTTTTTTGCATTCCCCAAACTGCCATAAATGATTCCAAGAATGCTAGTTGTCAGCTAAGAACCATTAGCTAGAAACTAAAATAACAGCCACAAAACGCAGCATGAAAAAGCCTCCAAGGATTTTGCATATCACTACAACACATGAAGTACAAGAGCCACCAGCTGTTCTTGGGAACAAAAGCTTGCTCCTAGTCTGGCCACCCCAGGCAGGTGTCCAGTGTCCTGCTAGAATATGCATCTTAAAAGACTCTAAATGTTACAGTTCAATTTGAATAACATGCTTGGTAGCTTTGTACAACAGTCACATCTGCAGAGCCCTGAAGATAACGCAATGGCACAGCTACAGCATCAGAGGACCCC